ATATCCTAATCTTTACAATCACTCTTGATTAGCCCTCAAAAAATAAAATAAAATAAAATAAAAAACCAGAAAACAAAAAGCAAACACCCAACAACAACAACAACAACAACAACAGCAACAAAGCAAAACAAAAATAAAAACCAAATCATTTAGCACTTTGCATTGTCTGGAAGGCTGCATTGTCTGGCCTGTCTTTAGCCTCATCCCACACCTCACTTCTCAAGCCCTCTGACTTGGTCACATTCTCTTTCTTTTGGTTCCTCTTACTTGGTTTCTTTTCACCTCAGGACCTTTGGATATACTTTAAATATGATCTTTCTGCCAGAAATGCCATCCCCACCACTGGTTCACTGTTCATATTCTTTTGCTCTTGAAGTATGAGCTCCTTAGAGAAATTTCATTGACTTCCCTACTTATGTCATATCTGCTTTTAGAAGCTCTCATAATTTCATGTTCTTTTCTTCATAACACTTACAATTGGAGTATTACAAGTTATTTGTGTGATGATTTGATTAAGGTCTGTCTTCCCCCTTGATGGCCAAGATCATGCCACTTTCATTCATTACTATGTCCCCAGTGTTTGGCAAATCACACTTTGTAATCATTCAGTAAAAGCCTGTTGAAGGTACAAATGAGGATGCACAGCCATGCGGTCCAATTTGGTAACCACAGGCTACATGTTGAACTTTAAATTAATTAATTTTTAAAGATATAAATACTTGTTCCATAATCACACCAGCCTCAATTCCAATGCTAATTAGCCATATGAGTCTTATAACTCCCATATTAGACAGTAGAAAATAGAACATTTTCCATTATCATAGAAAATCTTATTGGATAGTCTTGGCACTATCAAGTCCAGGAGCTAGTACATGGCATGAATGCCTTCAAGTGTCTGGTTCTTGGCAAACTTTCAGCCTATTTCTTTCCCTGTAATGATAAAGCCACAGGGAAGAATCACTCTTCTAAACACATTCTCTGAACATGCTTCTCTTTCTCAGGGATCTGTGGGCTGCCTAAATTGCCATCCTATTTAGCACTTCCCATTCATTCCCCCCCCCCCTCGCCATATATTTCTGTGAAATTACAACATTGGGAAAATTTTACTAAGGTCCCAAACAGTGCTAGCCAGTGTTTCCTTTGGCCTCTATATTGCCCCTTTCCCATTCCTGTGTGCCCTGCTCAGACAGGATTGTATCCTTTGTTCACTATTTCTGCTATCACTACGTAAGCTCCTCAAGAGAAAGGTCTGGGCCTGGGTCTTCTTCCAGTGTGCTGAGCACAGAACTGGTGATATGTAGACATCAGTAGGTATTTGTTAAATGAGGAATACGTAAGTGAATGAAAATCATAGGGAATACTATTTCCTTAATTCAGTAGCATGAGGAAAAAGGGAAGTGTGTTATTGAGGTAGAGACAGTAGGGTCTTCCCAGGACCCTGTGCTCTTATCTTCCTCCCCATGGACATGTATCAGACCCTTATTTTGTGTGAGAATAGCTTCTGAAGTCAGAAATAACCCCTAAGTTCTTGGGTCTTGAAGGCTTGGGAGCAGTGGAACTGTTTCTTGAGGAGAGTGGGGGCCTCTCAGCTGAATGGAAAGATGGCTCATACCATGATCAGAGTCCAAGCCAAGCTGCACCCCACAATGATAGAACTGGGAGCCAGCCGGAAATCTGAAACAGAGATTAGACTGTGAATTTAACTTTGCTCAGATAGTTAAGTAGTTAAGGGGCTCCCTCCTGTGCAGAGGTTGCTGCTGTTAAAGTCATGGGATATTTGTCCCAACTCACCCACTAGACTGATAGCTTATATACTGTCTTATTCTCTTTGGATTCTCTAGCAGGCTGAGGTTAGTGTCTGTAGATCCTATGGGTGGCTAAAATGATTGATTAGATGGAACTAATTACCCTTGTTGGAGATGCTGCATGATAACAGATATGCTTTCTGCTCTGATAATAATCTATTTTGCCAAAAATATTCTCATGTCCTCTTTGTGATTTTTTTTTTCAGTAGCAGGCCTTTGCTTAATTATGCCCATCTCCTTTGAAGATGAAGTTATAGCTTCTGTCATGCAAACAGGACATTCTGAGTTTCTTTGCTCCATCCTCCTTTAACAATTGAGCCTACAGGACTAATGGCCACATAGTTCTCTTATAGTGACTAGGATATTCACCTGATCCTCATTAAGGCAGACTGGAGGAAGGAATGAGAAGAGATGATATAGGGGAAGGAAGGGAAAACAGCATTATGGTAAGTTCAGAGATGGAGAAGCAACAAAGAAGAGAGAGACAAGTTGTCCAGTAGACAACTGGTCCATTGAACAAGTTGAACAGGGCACCAAGACCTGTGTCTGGATGTCTGTGACATGTCACTGAGCACACCACACACTGGGTTCCCTTTAGGGGTGCAGCCTGGGTCCAAATGAGCCAAATTGGGATCCAGACTGGGTCTTCATAATTGGTGGGCCTGGAAATCCCTTATGCATTTATTTAGAGTCAGTTTATGTTATGAGAAGAAGGCCTTTGAGAAGGAGATTTAGGTATGATTCCCTGGGGCTGAGATAGAGAGATGGAGAAGACTGTTATCCAAAATGGCCCTGGAGGAGGAGGTCTTTTTATTCTAGAGTAGTGATGTACATTAAGGACTCAATAATGTCTTTAAGCATAGAAATCTGTTTGTCTATGTTAACTTAAGGTCTCCAAATCTATTTGAATACAACACATTTTCTTTCCCTCTCTTTTTCTTTTTAAGGTAACACCTCATTAGCAGCTCAAGGAACTGCCAAGAAAAACTAGTTTTCTTTGATTACTGGATTAATGGGTTGATTTTTACATCATGTAGACAGAGCCATAGGAATTTTTTATGGTTTAATATTCTAGCTATATCAGATATAAAAGGCAGTATATTTGTAAATAGGCCTTGGTGCTAGTTAGTTTATAACTCAAATATCCGGGTTAGATTGTGCCTACGCAAGCATGGTAAAGTTAATAAATTAAAAATGGAAGTGCATTATAATATTAGTATGCCTTTTTGATATTAGATATTTTCACCAGTAATTCATAATAGAATAAATGTCAAGGAAAGTTTCGAGTCTGCCTACTATTGCATAATGGTATACATGGTTTGAGAGAATTTATCCCCTGGAAATGAGCAAGGCTGGCATTTTATGCTTGTCATTGATCATCTTCCTGCCTATGGATGGCAGCAGACATTTGACATTCATGATGGATATTCCTGAGACCTTTATGACTCTCCTAATTGGAAAATATCACTAGAGCAAATAATTTCCCTCACGAAACCTTTTTATTCTGAACTAAACCATCATGTTTATGGAGGGCTTCACTTTTTCTTGTCATTCATTATCAGGGCCATTTGTACTTGGTAATTGACAATGAGAGGGAACATGTAGCTGTGAGGAAGTGGCAAGACTTCTGTATTTACTGAGTACTCTACCATTGATGACAGTTTTGCTAGACTTATTTTATGTTTCAGAAAAATGGCTAATATCTGCATGCCATGGACTCTTGAAATTGCTCATGAATAGCTGAAACTGTGACTGTAAATTTTTAAACATCAAGCATCATCTCCTGTTCTCTGGCTTTTCAAAGACATCTTCACTTTCCCCATGTGCTAAGTGGCAAGAAGATACTCTGGATTGGGGAGGGAAGAAAATGTTTGCAGTTTTGGAAATTCAAGCTCACCTTTACTAGCAGGTTTGTGTGAACTCAAGGGCATGGATATCTCAGCAGTTTCAGGAAGTGATTTGCATGGTTTGGTAAAAAACATCAGGGAGTTCTTGACTTAGTCTAAAAAAAATGTATTTCCCTGAGCTAAGAAAATATCATTATACTTGAAACCACAATCTGACTTTTCCAAGCACCCCAATAAACTCTCTGCTTTCTAATATGAATCTCAAGGCTACCTTTTCCATGGTTTATCAATATGATCTTTGGGACTCAGAGTCTTAGGAAAAAATCAATTTTTTCTTAGGATTTGTGATTATTATTGAAGTAAAATGGCAGAAAGATTTTTATCAAACTTGGAAGCTCTTTCTAGATGAATCCCACAGATTCATGTCATTTCTTGAAGACTGGTTGACCTCACACAAAGTAAGATAATCAGGGGAGAGGAGACATGTCCAGTGGCCAATTTGGGAGGTATTAAAAATACTTTTCATGTTTGACATGTGAAATAGCCCCCCCCCCCAACAACAACAACAAAAAAAACAAAACAAATCCTCAAAGACAGATCCACTCTGCCTTGCTCATATAGAAAGTCCACTGACATTTAACCATGTAGGTTTTTGGAGCTTTCCAGTTTTCATCAGGATGAATGATGTCAGCCAATAGAGCAGATTGTATAGAATTCAAATATATACAAAATGAAACTACAAGTGACTTTTGCTCCTTAGGACCCTAATCTGACCAGACACTACAGATGCAAGGGTTATTGGGTGACAAGAGTCATTACAGACATGTTGATATCTATTGAGGAGGTGGAACAAGCTTACTTTTGGAAAAGTCTACTTAAGCTTCCCACTAAGGGCTTTCATATGACTTTGAAGTAAATTTCTCTAATCCTTTGAGGACCATGGCTGCCACAAATCCTTTACACTAAACCATTTTCTACACAATTAATGCTATTGAAAGACCTGAGTTATGTGTTTCTCAAGATTTGGAATTGGCTTGCTAGTAATGGGATTCCTCACTGTGACACTACTGCCAGTAGTCTGGAGTCTGAAAATCTCTTCTGTTCTCCAAGTTAAAGGTCTAGTCATGGACTGACTCATGATTCCTCTCTCTCTCTCTTTGGAGGCTGGGAATTGAGATGGGAAAAGGTGGTGGGATCTGAGCAGCCCTGTAAGACTGGCAGTTTTCTGTCTGGAGAGAATTTGGGTGTAATCACAGTCGCTTTGCAGGAACATGAAATATGAGCACAAAGCTAGGCCAGCTGCCCTGTGAAGTGAGGCAGGAAGGCCAAGAAAGATGGGAAATCTTACCTTCTTGACTTCATATTTAATGGCGAGTTTGATCCGGCTCAAACTTGGTCGGTGGTGGTCGGACCAGACTTGGAAGTTCACATCACCATTTAAAATCGCCTCCACCTCTTCTGTGTCTCGGCACAGGTCCAGCACGCCCACCACAAAATCCTTGCATTGCATAGATAACTTCCTGTAATCGTTCTAACAGAATAAAGAAAAATCAGGGGTGTGTCACACTGAGCCCCACAGATCGGCTTGCCCAGCACAGCAGTGTCAATTAGCAATTGTCCCACAAGTGTGAACTTAACGGAGTACATTGGAACCAAGGGCAATTGCTGAATTCAGAAGACAGGGCTGTTTCTCTTGACACACAACCTAGAGGACATTCTTCTCTAAGTCAGCACTTGTCAGAGTGTAGTCCACAGATCACTTGCATTAGAGTTACTTTAGATCATGCCAAAATTGTAGAATTCATGGGAATGAGGTCCAGGAATGTTTTTTTTTTTTTTAAAGTTTGCTCTTTAAATGATTTGAGTACCCGCCATAGCCCATCCAGGCTTTTTCAAAGCAGCAAATCTTTGGGCCTAATTACTAGCCAATTGTAAGGGAGGAGTAATAAGGAAATGAACTTTTAAGATGCTAGAAATAATACCTTACTCATTTAGCACCAACCTAAAATAGTGACTGCTCTGCATAGGAATTTACTAGAAAGATAAGGCTGATACACTGAAGTTGGAAGAAATTTAAACACAGGTATGCTTTTTATATGTGCTAGAAAATTGCTTGTAACTTACACATTTAAAACTCCAATGCAATTTACACTTTACAGGATTCTTTCTTACTACAAATCCATTTGTATGGCAAATCATGGCTCCTTAAATTACTTGACTGATGAGTAGACACTTTTAGTCTTGAACTTTTTGTTGTTTCACTTTTTTAATGAGTTGCTCCTGGGATACTCTTTTCCTTTCCCTAGGTATATCTTTCCAACCATCTTTGAGAAGTTTCCTTCCTTCCTTTCTTAGCAACACACCAACTTCTCTCCCTCCCAAACACACAGCTTAATTTCTAGATAATGATCCCAAATGTTGGACAAAAGAATGTTTCATGTCACTCTCATACCACTACTTCCCTCCAAATATATTCTCCTGAGGCTTCCTTAATGCTTTATTGGTTGAAACCAGTCTATTTAGAAACTACATAAGGACCAGATGTCACTTTCAATGTTAATCAATGTCAGCAACCCTCAGACTCATAAATAGTAGTTGGCAATAGGAGAGCAGTTTTGCTTTTCCGAAGCCCGGATTCTTCAGCAAATAGGTGGGAGCCTGGCAAACTGCAGGAGCTCAGCTATTTTTCTGAGTTAATGATTCTTGTCTCCTTCCAGGGCTGCTGCATCAAAATGTCACTTTGCATTAGAGAAAGAGGTAAGTAAATGCTTGCTTGCTGGGAAAGGGAAAAGGATCATGAAAATATTTTCAGATGAGAATGGCTACCCTTCATTTTTATGTATAATTTAGGTAGAATAAGGAAATTTTAAAAATTATGAGTAGAAAAAGGACTACTCAGCTTAGGCAGATTGTCATGGAGAAAAATTTGGGTAAGATACTTAGAGTGTCCTAGGTTTGGGCATCTATTGGGTGGTGGTTGGGTGGTGACATGAAGAGTTGTATTCTGTGCTTCTCCATCCCTAACAGTCACCCATTCACATTCATTCTTCATTGAGGAGCTACTGTGTACCAGGCACTAAGTTAGCCAAGAATGAGGCCAATGTGGTTTCTAAGTAGTGAGGCTGAAGGAGGCTGGGGATTCATCCTTAGGGTCCCATAAGGGTAATGCCAAGTAAAACTTGCTCAGAGTTTGTCCTGGCTAAAACATTTTGGAGACTGCTGAAGATCCAGAGTTGGGAATCTCAGCATCTCAGCGTATAATACACTGGGCTCAGCAAAATGGAGAAGATGGTTCACCTCACCACATTGACCTGACCCATTCAACTCTGGCAGTCCCTCTGTTACAACTGACATTTCCTGAATCTCCTTGCCCTGAATGTCAGTTTTCCTGGTAAAATGGAACCTGTTGGCTAGATATACATCAACTCTTGGTGAAACTCCTACCTGGAACTGAATGCATGAATGGGTACATGAAGTAGAAAAGGCTTGCCTTAGCCTTTGGTCCAAGCTCCCACACTGGGAACAAGTCAGGTTATATGGCACTATACATGTTTGGGTTCTGCAGAGTTTGAAGCAGGAAGTGCTCCTTCATTAGAGGCTGTCACTTTCCTGGGCTCTTTTACCTAGCCTGCCCATCAAAAAGGAGGCACCAGAGCAGCCAAAGTGGATAATTACATTTTTGTCTTCTGCATTAGACACAGGCTGTATGTCAATAAGGCTGGTATCTGCAGGTGGCTGGAGGGAAAAGAGAGAACCCAGGCCTGCCAGAGAGGAGAGTCTATGGTCATGTATGGTGGCAGAGGGTTATAGGCGAAACCTCTAAAGAATTAGGATGAGTATGCTTAATTGGGTCAACCATGAGCTCTTGAGCCTTCCAAGACATACCCCTCACTGTAGTTGAGGTAGATGAGATACATGTCTAAGACATCAGACATGCTCTTTAAATTTTTAAAAAATATATTCCTATATGCTGAGGTTCCCCAGTCCCAATGGCTGACAGGTGTATCATCTAGCTCAATTTTTTATAAAAAGTCATGATGGAAAGGCTATCACCATTTCCAACTTAAAGATGAGGAAACTAAGACAGAGAGATAAACAGGCTGAATACACTTCTCTTTCTTATATTAGTTACTGATCTATGGGTCACTCTCTCACCTTTGGTGATTTGAACTCCTATTTCACTCCCACTGTCCCTCCGTTGCTGCTTTTGTTATTCTTGGCAGTTTCAATATCTTGAAAGATGACTTTCCCAATACCCTGCCCTCTCACTTTCTTGACAGATCCTTTTCCAGTGAGCTCATCCTTAATCCAAATTCAGCCACTCAGTCTCTTAGTTATTTCAGTAGCTGTATATCCTCCATGACTGCAACTACAAGTATATTTTTCAAACCACCGCCTCCCTATATATCCCGCTCACTGTTTCTGGGACCCCAACTAGTAATCTTTTGATTCACCAGGGCTACAAGCAATTGACCATTCTTCCTTTACCCTAATTTATACTCCCCTCTTTAGGTTACTTCTTTCCTCCTTAAAGAGCTTATATTTCATGGTTAATCATATGATAACCTCTGCACACATCATCAACTTTTCTGGGCTTCACTTTTTTTAACCTTCACTGGATAAAAGCCTGGTCTTAGTTGAATCTAATTGTCTACCACTCTGGTCCTGCCTCTGTACAGTAAATGTGTCTGAGAAGAGACAACTGCACTGATGCATCTTCCTGTTAACTGTCTCTAACCTTAAGTAGTCTTTAGTACTCCTGGCAATTTACTCTTTTACTCTTAAACAAGCATTTCATATCTTTCCCTTCTCCATCTTCAAAAATCTTTACTTCTTCCTAACTCTTGGATGAGGACCTTGTTTTCTATTTATTAAGAAAATAGAAGTTATCAGCAGAGAAGCTCCCCATGCTCACACCATCACATATATGTAGCTACACACATCTGTGTCCATGTATTCTGTGTCCATGTTTTCCCTCTTTTTACTTTGGATAAACTGTCTCTGCCCCTCTCTAAGATCAACTCCTCCACTTGCATCCTGGATATCATCAGCCTCTTATGCCTACTCAAGGATGTTGCTCCTGCAACCTTCCTTTTTCTCTCCTGTGCTATCAACTTCTCCTCTCCCTACTTGTTCAGCACACAAACATGTGGTTATTTTTCTTTTCTTAAATAGAAATTTATCTTGACCCCACTTCCTCCTCCAATTGCTACTCCAATTTTCTGTTCCATTCTACACCAAAACTCTTCAATAGAGTTTTCTACATTCATTGTCTTCAATTGCCCTTTTTGTTCTCTTTATTGTTCCATTTAATAAGGCTTTCCGGCCCACAGAATTTACTGTGACTCTTCTCGGTAAAGTCATAAAGGATTTTCATGTTCCTAAATTCAACAGTTGGTTCTCAGTCCTCATTTTACATATCAAGCGCTTTGATGTGGCTGATCATTTCTTCTTATTTGATATACAGTTACTTGGCTTCCAGTATAACATATACTTTTGTGTTTATTTTTCCTGATTTACTACTTTTTTTTCATTCTTTGTTGATTCATCCTCATTCTCCTTATGTCTTAATTTTGGAATACCCCAAAGATGTATCCGGTCCTCAAAAGTCTCCTTTTATCTATTGACACTCATTGTCTTAGTGATCTTATCTAGTGTCATGGCTTTCAGTAATGTACATATGCTGATAAATCTGAAATTTATATCTTTAATGCAGCCTTCTCCCCTGAACTCAAGATTCATATATCTGACTGTCAACTTTATATCTTCACTCAAATGTCTAATAGGCATATTTCAAATTTAACAAAAATTTTGAATTGAGTCTACCTTATTTTCTTTCCCCCACAGTTTCAGTTATTCTAGACAAAAAATTCTTAAATCTAGCCTTGATGTCTATCTTCCTCTTATAATCTGGAAACAGTGAAATTTTGTATGAAAATGAAAAATAAAAAAGGGTGGAGATGTAGCTCAGTGGTAGCGTATCCCTGGGTCCAATTTCCAGAAAACAAAATCAAGGAAGGGTAATGGGGAGTGGAGGAACACTATGGTTTGGATCTTTATTACTTGCATAACTTGTATCTGACATTCTTAGGTAGAATAGGATGCATAGGTGAGAGGGAAGTTCTCTCTAGTCTTGTCAATGCTGATGGCATCCAAAAAACAAGCAGGGTAATGTATGTGAATGTGGATGTTGCCATTTATCTCACTAAACCACTAGGTAGCCCCAGATCTTCTTTACTTCATCTCCTGTTAGGGTACACTTAAATCTGTTCTTTAAAATAGAGTGTTGAAAGGAGGTATTCTTAGCTTCTGGGGACTAGTGAATGGATGAGGAATAAACACACCAGGCAATGTGTCCAGCATTCAGGGCTTAGGAGATGTTGTATGCTGCAGTGCTTCTTTGGACCATAGCTATGGCTATGATGAACAGAGAAAGAGGCCCTAGAGTTTTACCTCTTCAAGTATGTCACATAAGTTACATCATATAGGATATAACCCTTTGAGACTGACTTCTTTTTCTGAGCATAATCT